TAACTGACTGCACCAAAACTACCCCAAAGTCACAATAACTCCCCACCACCCCCTGTGACTCAATACAGCAGTACTCACCTTGGATTTTGAGATGCACAGTGTCACTGCAGCACACTCAGGCAGCTAGCACATACTGTTGGTATGTGGTTGATGTAGCACTGTGCTGTACAGCAACATGACCCTCATATCTGCTGACCAACATGACAAGCCACCTAGCTTGATGTCTGCACTAAGCAGCAAGGCAAGCCAAGGGCGAAAAACGCAAGAGTTGGTAAGGCAAGGCAGGGATGTTGCAATTGTCCAGGTAGGCACTAAGTGAGTGAGTGTGGAGAGAGCCAGTGAGCAGCCCTGGGATTCAGACTGGGTGAGCTGGGGGCCTGTCCCTACTGCACACAGTGTCCTTGCAGCAGCTTTGCAATGAGAGGGACTGATGCACTCCAAAGTGAAGCATTGAAGAGCAGAAGGGTCTTGTAAATGGAGCACAATGTGCCACGCTGGTACGGAGAGGTTGGCATGTGTCAGACACCAGCATTTGTGTGTTTTCACTGCCCATGTCACTTTCCCTCAGATATGGTGCCAGGCGGTACCAAGACAGTGGTCCATAGGAGGCAGTAGCAAGCTGAAGTCACTATGTATCAACTCTGACTTTCATGTTGAATGTTCTGGATATCTAATTTCTCTCCAGCATGTGATAGAATAGGAACCTGCATAAGAATAAGGAGAGATTTGGCAGTAGTGATGGTCATATTGAGAAATAACTCCAGTTAATAGGCATCGTTATGCAAATCACTAGCGAGAATCTCGTGATATCGTCCAGAACTTGGTTGGAAAATGTGACCTGTTGCTTCCAGCAACAAGACAGGCCTCACTTGACTTCTTATGCATTTCTCCCAGATTCCTTGCCATAACCCACGTCATTCAGGCCATTTTAAGATTTGCCTACGGGAAACACCATGCCGTGCAAGATCTCCCTCCAAACCACTCACCATCCTGACCTGGAAATCTCCCACCATTCCTTTAGTGTCACTGCGTCCAAATCCTGGAACTCCCTCCCTAAAAGCATTGTGGGGTTTCCTGCACCAAATGAACTGCTGGAGTTCAGCAAACCAGCTCACTATCCCTTTCTCAAGAGCAATTACTGGATGGACAATAAATGCTGGCCTAGCCTGTGATGCCTACATTTAAAAACCCACAAATAAAACAAAATTACATATTAAACACACACTTCCCAGCAACTGAAACTTAATCTTATGCGTGGCGTTTCATTCTGTTCCCTATTCTGACAGAAACGTACTAATGCTGACAGAATATACACTATAACTAAAGAATATCAATTTATATTTATGTAGGTATGACATCATATTGAAATAGAATTGTAAAATTAGCGAAGGAAAATAGGAATAATGATTTTCATTCTCAATAGCATTTGAAAATAGTTTTTTAAGAGTTCATTTTTTACTCAGCATTCCTGAAAATGGGTTCTATGTTCTACTCAGACTTCCCAAAAATATTGAGCTAAGCTTGCCTCTGTGAGGTGGAGCTAAATGTTAACAACACATGATTTGATTAAACTGGGAACTGCCTGACAAGACAGTACCTAAGATATTGATTCTCATGTTGGAAAAATATCAGATTTTAAAAATGGTTTCTCTTATAATTTATTACAACTATCCCACTCCAAATTAGTTTTTTGTACTGATAGATCAGGAATAAACAGCTTCAATGAGGCTAACCACAAAAAAATTCACTTACTTAGAATCCCTACAGTGCAGAAGCAGACCATTCAGCCCATTGAGTCCACACTGAGCTTCGGAAGAACATCCCACCCCAGTTGACGAACAATGGCAGAAGTTTAAAAATAGTTCATTGCTCACAGCAAAGGTATGTCCCAGTAAGGAAGAACAAGTCTAGGAAGGAAATAAACGAACCCTGGGTAAACCAGGAAGTTAAAGATAGCATCAAATTAAAATGGATTGGGAATATTTTAAAATCCAACAAAAGATGACCAAAAACACAAAAGAATGAGAAAATAAAGTTTGAGAGTAAACTTGCAAGTAATATCAAAATGGATAGTAGAAGCTTCTTTAAACATATAAAAAGAAAGAGGGAGGCCAAGCACGCAAATGCCTTTTAGAAAGTCAGGCTGCAATAATAATAATGGGGAACAAGGAAATGGCAGAGAAGTTGAATAAATACATTGCATCAGACTTTACAGTAGAAGACACTGATAGCATTTCAATACTATTAAATAATCAAGGGCAAAAGGAGGAGAACAAACAATTGCAATAGCTATGACTAGAGAAAGTGTGGTCAGGAAAATAATGAGGCTAAAGACCGATTACGCCCCTGGATCTTATGGGATGCATTCCTTGTATTTTAAAGGAAATAGCTACAGAGATAGTGGATGCACTGGTAGTAAGTAATCTTAGATATAGACAGAACAAATAGATTCTGGAAAAGGCCCAGAGGACTGGAAATCTGTCAACCTTTATTTAGAAAGGGAAGGAGACAAAGAACAAGTAGCTATAGGGCAGTTGGCTTAGCGTCTGACATTGGGTAATTGTTAGGGTCTATAATAAGGAATGTAACAGCAGAGCGTTTAGGAACACATGATACGATTAAGAAGAGACAGCACGACTTCATGTAGGGGAAATCATACCTGTAAAATATAGTAGAATTATTTGAGGAGGTGATAAGCAGGATAGATAAAGAGGAAGCAGGGGATGTAATATACTTGGATTGTCAGAAGGTGTTTGATAACTTACCACATGTTAAGCTACTTAATAAGATAAGAGGCTCATGGATACTGGAGGTAATATACTAACATAGATGGAGCATTGACTAACTAATAGAAGACAGAGTTGGCATAAGGGGAACATTTTCAGGATGGCAATTTATGGTGTGGAGCTAAGTCATTAAATATATTCAAGACTGAGATAGACAGATTTACAACAGGTTTACAAGAATGTTACCTGGACTTCAGGGGTCAACTTATGAGGAACAATTATTCAAATTAGGCTTGTTTGCTTTAGAATTTAGAAGGTTAATGAGTGATCTGATTGAAGCCTTCAAGATTTGGGCAGCACGGTGGCTCAGTAGTTAGCACTGCTGCTTCACCGTGTCAGGGACTCAGATGACCATCTGTCTGGAATTTGCACATTCTCTCCGCGTCTGTTTGGTGCTCTGGTTTCCTCCCACAGTCCAAAGATATGCAGGTTAGGGTGGATTGGCCACACTAAATTGCTCAAAGTGTCCAAGGATGTGTAGGCTGGGCAGATTAACCATGGGAAATGTGGGGGTATGAGTTACGGTGGGGCTGGATCTGGGTGGGAAGCTCTTCAGAGGGTCAGAGTGGACTTGATGGGTAGAATGGCCTCCCTCCACACTGTAGGGGTTCTGTGATTCTATATTAACAGGAAAAGACAGTGCTGGGGACTCAAGAACTAAAACTAGGAGGCATTGTCTGAGAATTGTGGCCAGGCTATTCAGGAAAGACATTAGGAAGCACTGCTACACACAAAGGGTGGAAGAGGTTTGGAACTCTCTTCAACAAATGGCGGTGGATGCTGGATCAGTTGTTAATTTTAAGTCTGAGAGAGATACATTTTTGTTAAGCAAAGGTATTAAGGGATATGGGCCAAAGGCACAGGTAGGCCACAGATCAACCATGATCTCATTGAATGGCAGAGTAGGCTCGATGGACTGAATGGCCCTCGTTCTTATGGGTTTATGAACTGTGAATGATGAGCAAATCTTAGGCTGGAATCAGAACCTTTTTACGGGTAAATTTAAAAAGTGTTGGTAACTTGAACAATACCATGCTCTATGATACACTAAATATATTTTTAATTCAATTATTAAGGATTGGGTTTTGCTTAGAAAAGTAAGTGGCCTTTAAATTGACTTATATTGTGAAAGCATGCAGATATATGAGAGTGTTTTATGCAGTGGATACTCCAGTGGCTTTGTTGAGGTCTGCTAAATAAGGGTGAATCATCAAATCCCTATAGTATGGAAACAGGCTATTAGGCCCATCAAGTCAGCACCAAACCTCCAAAGATCATCCCACCGAGACTCATCCCACCATATCCCATAACCCCACATTTACCATGGCTAATCCAACTAGACTGCACATCCCTGGATACTACAGACTGTGGGAGGAAACTGGAGCACCCGGAGGAAACCCACACAGACACGGGGGAGAATGTGCAAACTCCACACAGACCTGAGGCTGGAATCGAACCCGGGTCCCTGGAGCTATGAGGCAGCAGTGCTTCACTAGTGAAGGGGGTTATGCCCATGTCAGCCATTTAGGTGAGCAAGGGACAATGATGCAGATGATGTAAGGCAAAGAAAAAAAAGAACAAAAGTAGAAATTACAGGAGAAACTCAGCAGGTCTGGCAGCATCTATGGGAAGGAAGCAAAGTTGACATTTTGACTCTTCATCAGAAGTGAAGTTTCTCCAGCAATTTCTGTTTTAGTTTCAGTTCTCCAGCATCCACAGTTCTTTGTTTTATAAGAAGAAAGAAAAATGACTTTTTTAAAACTATCAGTATTTCTTGGATAAACTTACAAAAGTGCACAGAGTTGTTTTCACGCAAATGTTATTAAAGGGTCAAAATGAAGTTCCGGAGTTTGACAACTCAAGAACAAAAACATAAGTTGCTGGAAAAGCTCAGCAGGTCTGACAGCATCTGTGAAGAAAAAAATCAGAGTTAACGTTTCAGGTCCGGTGAGCCTTCTTCAGAACACCAGACCCGAAACGTTAACTCTGATTTTTTCTCCACAGATGTTGCCAGACCTGCTGAGCTTTTCCAGCTACTTCTGTTTTTGTTCCCGATTTACAGCATCCGCAATTCTTTCGGGTATTTATTTGGTATTTGACAACTCAACATGGAAGAGTGGGTAGACTACAACTCCCAGGGTACACCTCAAAGACGAGACCAACATCCAGTTTAAACCATCCACGCCTAAAGACCACGCTGTCACTTCACTGCTGCTCAATTCACAGACGGACGAAGACATCAGCCAACGGGTTCTTGCACCGTTTACATTAGCAGCACCACAGACACACACACTCACCAAAGTACCTGAAGGGAGAGATTTAATTCGCCATGGCACACACTGCTCATTTTGTTGAAGGCACCGAGAAGCTGCTGGAGGTGTGGTTCACTCGGCCGGATGAAACTAAAGGCTCAGGAGATCTCTGTTAACATCCCCAGGTACAAGCAATGAAGCAGCGACGGGAAAAAGGGCAGAAGCAATCCATTTGGGAATATCTATTTATACATCAATGCACGCACAGCACTTGGCTAAAGCACATAGCATGGCTGCTCTGAAATATTAAAACGAATTTGGTAGCTGCCTACGGCTGCACGTCAACCCAATGGGGGAGGGAGTGTAGGAGGAGCAGGTTACAGGAGGTGACAATGTACTTTAAATCTGTAGATTAATGAATCACATCCAATGCTCACTTCCAGAGAAACCATCTGGTAGCGCAATTTTAACACGGAAACATAAAAAAAAATCAACATACCGTCCAATATTCCTGATGATTTTCACAAACTAACCCCTCAAACTCAAGCTTGGTCAGCTGTAACTCACATAATCTTTAAAGAGTTTTAACTTTATCTCCGAAAATTAGACATGAAGTAAGAAGGTGGCTCATTTCCTAAAACCAGGTCGGATTACAACGTAAAAGCACCAGACTTCCAATTAGTTTGATGTCAGAACTTTGTGCCTTATTTAATAATGTATTGAGATAATCTTGTCTCCAACCCAACACCCCTCCCCCCAAAAAAAGACAAAAACGACATCAAATTCTGGTCTGAAAACAACAAACGCTGGAATTCTACAGCATTTTTTTAATGTTTTCAGTACAGATCCCAGCATCTGCGGTAATTTATTCCTACATCAAATTCTGGTCATTTCGAGGGCCTCCTTTTGCTGTTGGTTCTGTCACCATGCTGGAAGGGGATGGCAGGAGTGCGCTCAGTCCCTCGGGAGAATGTTGTCCCGAACAATTCATCTGTAACATTGTTTAAAATGTCAGTTCCAGGAAATGCGCTTATTCTTCACATGGTTTGGGTCGGCGTTCAGCTGTTTATTTATTTTTTGAATAACGTCGTAGCCCTTTGCAGTCTGCAGACTTCCATCCACAAAAAAAAAACTTTCAATCCTGGCTCAGTAAACGGCGGGGGCAGGGGGGAAATGGCAGGAGTTACCTTCCTGCAGACTAGAGACAAACCACTAGCATTTCAGAGAAGTGGTGTCTTTGTTTGGCTGCCTGGGATCAGTTTGCTTGCTGCTGTTCATTGAAGTGTTTAGAGAAAGTGCTATCGCTGATTTAATAAATACTTTTTATAATTAAGAACATGTTCGAATCTGCAGATTAAAGAGTTTCAAAATATTGTAAAGGATGACAGAAACCTTTTTGATTGCTTGAGAATTGAACCAGCCATTTAATCAAGTCTACTTATTAAATTAAATCTACTCATGTCCAAATTTAGTGAAAGCAGATGATATTGTTTAAGTACGTTACCCATTGCAGAGGACACGGTTGCACTAGTGCAATTATTGGGTAATGTCAGTAAGCTAGCGCGTCCTTGTTACAAACATACTGACTATTAATATTAATATCCAGTCCCCCCGCAGGATCATTAAAAATACAACACACATTGTCGCTGGACCATTTCCTGACAATGCTTTTACGATCACTGTGCGCGGTTATAATTAGGAACAAAGCGCATTATCCCAATTAACGTTTACAGAAACAGTTAGGCCGGCCTCTCATGTTTTAAAGGTAAGGTTGTGGTTGTGACATTCAGCATGCGCCCTAGCTTCTGCCCAATCAGCTCCACGGTAACATGTCCCAAGCTGATAAGAGTTATTCTGGGAAGCATGTCAAATATTAAACCGTCAGCAATGGCACACTTGATCCAGAACATCTTTACTTTTTTTAAAAAAAGGCACATTTACCAAACTATTTTCAAGTAGGAGTTGGATAAAGTTCTTAGGGCTAAAGGGATCAAAAGGTATGTGGGAGTGCGGTAATTGGGAACAGGAAATGAGTTGGATGATCCACCATGATCATGTTGATTGGCACAGCAGGCTTGAAGGGCCGAATGGCCTACTACTGCACTTATTTCCTAGAACTAAGGGGCATTGTCTGAGAATTAGGTCTAGACCCTTCAGGATAGATGTTAGGAAACACTTCGACACAGAAAGGGTGGGAGAGGTTTGGAGGTCTCTTGCACAAATGGCAGTTTGTGTTGAGTTAGTTGTTACTTTTAAATCAGAGATAGATGTAGTTTTGTTAAGCAAAGGCATTGAGATATGGACCAAAGGCAGGGTTATGGAGTGAAGCTATAGATCAGCCATGATCTAATTGAATGGTGGAACATGCTCCAGGGCTGAATGACCTAATCCTATTTCTATGCTCCTATGTTACAGTAAGAATAATTAATGCACTGTATTACCACAAGAGAATTTTTTCAAACTCAGATATTTTGTTTGGAGATACTTCAGATTTCACCTTTTTTTTCTGTAAAAGCATGATCAATTTTAGAATGTCAATATCCATTGTTTAAAAATATCCAGATAGTAATCACTACATTATTCTCATCAATTCCCAATTAAGGAAATAAGGTTCTGCTCCTGCGCACTGACTGGTGAACAAAGCTGGGAATGGTCAGTGTGTGAAAATTGGACCGGAACAGAGCATACCTGTTGCTCATGCTCCTCTCTCCTCCCAGTTAGAGGATGCTGTGTATGCAATTGGGGTGAGCTTACAGGTGAAGAATAGCCACTGAAGGGTTGCTCAGGACAGCCAGTGAAGAAAAAGCAGAGTGAAAAACCTTGGGTGCTGTGCGGGAATGAATCACCAACCACATTTCTATTGTCTACTCTTTTCTGGAACCAAAAATCTTTACGCATTCAGGAAAACTGGGTAGATGACCATTTTAGTGTATTGGAACTCATCTTAAAAAATCTGCCCTCCTCATCAGAGCAAAATTCATCAGTTGCTATTTTAAGAAATATTCACCATGAATGGGAAAACGAGAAGATAACCCACTGTTACCTTTGACAGATCACTCACACTGGCCAGGTGTACAAGTGTTAGGCAAATGTGTGTCAAGTCTACTTTTGCATCAATGCCATCCTTATATGTTTGCTCAACTCCCATAACCTGAAGAACCTTTTAACTGCAAATATTTGAAGAAATGTGAATATTTGTCATTAATCATTGCTGCTTGATGATGTTATATACCATTTGATGTTAGCACGAGTGACATCACTTGATTAATGTGGCTAAAATAGTAACTTGTCCACTCATTATACATTAGGTTGAAAGCTGATGAAACCTGATGGCAAAACTGATTGCAATGAACCAGAAATCATAATTATCTTTTGCCTCAGAATTTATTTTTGATCCACCAAATTTCAGCGTGTCATTTTCGTGGGTGATTACACATTACACTGTTACAACATGCCATTACAGATAACAGAGCTTGACAGTATTAATCTAGTAGTAAGGTCTTCCTGTTCTCAAAAAAACAGTTACAGGTAGTCACAATGAAGATGATACTAAAGCTTTCTTGTCAGTAACTGCTACCATCTTTTGCATAAAATAAATTTGAATGGAACAAGCTGCTGGATAATGTGCATTGTTTGGTTGTCAGTGTGACAAGAACTGCCAAGATGTTTATGTGCTCAGGTAAGTGACAGCTTTAGGATTTAATACTCTACTGATTGTGGACTGTTTTAAGGACCCATTAAATCAATTGTTTGATGTTGTTAACTTCATTATTGAAAACAAAAACTAATTGGGTCTTGTTTTACACACTTGTTTCAAAGAAAACTTGAGCAGTTGTCGTAAAAGTGTAGGACACTTTTTAATTTTGACGAAGTTATTCTCACTTAATAACTTCTTTTATGAACATTATAAAGAATGCATCTCATTCAGGAGTCAAACATTTGAAAAGTCTTCATATAGGAATGTGGAGATCTTTTAAAAGTGACTTGCTGTACTCATTAAATTATAATAGGAAGACAGAGAGTTGTAATGATTTTCCAGAGTCAAACATTGAAGAATTATGCAATAGAATGAATTGCTCTGCCTTTCTACTGGTCTCCAGAGTCCATTGTAACTTCCTGTTATGATGAGAACTGAGTGATTAATAGCAAAAGATTGTAAGTTTCACAGGAGGAATGTAGGATATTGCATTGGCTCCAGGCATTGTTTGTGCACCCAAGGCTGTTCTATTATAGGGAAGGCACTTTTAAACCATTTACAACCAAAAACCTGGACTCTATTTATTTTAGAAACTTAGGCTGCATTTTGCAAATGCGGAAAAGTAAAGGTTCATTCTGTACTCTATTTATTTGCTCCTTATGAATTAAATCTTTTGTATAATACATTAAATTTGAGGGTGGTAAACTTAATGCTTGAAGCTCAAAAAACAGGAATAATACTTTTCTGATTGATTTAATTAACCATGTATTAATTTAGAAAAACAACATTCCTTCTGCCTTCCTGTAAAAAGAAATCAAGGAATGTTATGTCTAAGTTTGCTCAGTCGATGTAAACATCTCAAACCAGCTCTGCTTTGAAGGCAACTGCACTCTTACATAGTATTTCATATATTCACAATCTCATGGAAGGAGAAAAAGGATTTCCAAATTGCTCTCCTCGTTCATTTGTTCTTCCAAATTGTGCTATTTTTTCCATTTTGTTATTTTAGCAGTGACTGCATTGGCAGCAGTCTTGCCTCCGCATCAGATGTAGTGGTTGAGAAGACCTGAGACCAAAATCTAAAATAGTATTCCAGTGCAGTGCTGAGGGAGTGTTGCACAATGGAGGTGCTGTCTTTTGGGTGAGGCATTAAACTAATATTTGTATCTGCCCCCCTCTGGAGAATGTAAAATATCTCACAGCACTATTTCGACAAACAACACTGGAGTTATCCCCATTGCTTGGCCAAATATTTATCCTTTAATCAGCATCACAAAAGTAGACCATCTAGCCATTATCATATTGCTGTTTGTGGGGGTTTCCTATGCGCAATGGGCTGCTATGTTTCTACATTACAAAAGAGATTATACTTCAAAATCGCTTCATTGGCTAAAAAGCTTTTGAGACATCCATAAGACCATAAGATATAGGAACAGAATTGATCATGACTGACACATTTGTCAATGCCATTCTCCTGCCTTCTACATGTAACCCCTGAGCCCCTCACTAATCGAGAACCTAGCTATCTCTGCCTTAAATACACTCAATGACTTGGCCTCCACAGCCTTCTTTGGCAATGACTTCCACAGATTCCCCACCCTCTGTCTGAAGAAATTCCTCCTCATCATCTCAGTTTTAAGAAGTTTTCCCTTCACTCTGAGGCTGCGCCCTCAGGACTGATGTACTGATCATTAAAGGCTCCTACGTAAATGCAACGTATTCTTTCTTGAAAGCCTCATACATGTTCCGTACAATCTATTCTCCAGGTAAAGTAAATGTAATCAGTCGAATCTTTCTACGTAACCCTGGGCTTCACTGAAATGGAGATCAAGAAAGCTAGCAGGTGGAAAGGTGGGTGTCACTTACAATAAACCTTAATATAATCTTAATCATTAATTTATTTTTAAAAGCTTATTATGATAGCTGCAGCAACTAATCATGTCATTTCATGTTTTCAAACTGTTTTCTTGATTCTTGATTAAGCTGAATATCAAATAAAAAACAATTGGTCGATGGAGTTTAATTTAGATAAATGTGATGTGCTGCATTTTGGAAAGGCAAATCAGGGCAGGACTTATACACTTAATGGTAAGGTCCTGGGAAGTTGCTGAACAAGGAGACCTTGGAGTGCGTGTTCATAGTTCCTTGAAAGTGAAGTCCCAGGTATACAAGGTAGTAAAGAAGGCATTTGGTATGCTTGCCTTTATTGGTCAGTGCTTTGTGTATAGGAGTTGGGAGGTCACACTGAGGCTGTATAGGACATTGGTTAGGCCACTTTGGAATACTGCACTCAGTCCTTTTCTCCCTCCTATAGGAAAGATGTTGTCAAACTTGAAAGGGTTCAGAAAAGATTTACAAGGATGTTGCCTGGGTTGGAGCTTTGACCTATAGGGAGAGGCTGAATATGCTGGGGCTATTTTCCCTGGAGCATCGGAAGCTGAGGGCTGATCTTATTGAGGTTAATAAAATCATGAGGGGCATGGATAGGTTGAATAGTAAAGGATTTTTTCTTAGGGTAGGGGAGGCTAAAACTAGAGGGCATAGGTTTAAGGTGAGGGAGGAAAGATTTAAAAGGGACCTGAGGGGCAACTTTTACACACAGAGGGTGGTGCGTGTATGGAATGAACTGCCAGAGGAAGTGGTGGAGGCTGGTACAATTACAGCATTTAAAAGGCATCTGGATGGGTATGTGAATAGGAAGGGTTTAGAGGGATACGGGCCAAATGCTGGCAAATGGGACTGGATTAATTTAGGATATCTGGTTGGAATGGACGAGTTGGACCGAAGGGTCTGTTTCCGTGTGGTATGACTCTATTTTTTGTATTCTTTCATGTGATGAAGGAGTCACTGCCAAGTCCAGCATTTGTTGTCCTTCCCCAATTGTCCTTGAACAAGATGGCTCCACTCAGCGTCTAGGAGAAATAATAAGAAACAAATAAATGATTCTACCTCATCTCCTCAAATATACATACAGTGCAGCCATAATATGTCAAAATTAATTCTCCAATGTTTTCCCTGCCCATCTCTTGCTGTGCAACGCCAGACTTCTGCTAAATTTGTGTTTTTTGGATTTCCCTAACTTACAAGGCAATAATGGACTCCGCGACTGCATAAGTGTCATTTTGTGTATCACTCGAATAGATTATCAGTCCCAAAATTGTTCTAATTAATGTTCCCTAATACAATGTTAGAGAGGTACGCTGGGGCATACAAACAGGAGATTCTGCCTCTAGCTGTGAATACTATTATTTTGTTTCTAGGCTTTAAAGACATATTCCAAAATTGGATGGAAAAGAAATTCTCACACATACAGCTTTCCAATTGGCATTCAGCTCATGGGAAAAAGAACTTCTCTCGAAACAGCTGGCATCTCATTTAATCACAACGGAGGCAGTCTCGAACAGCAATCTGAAGGCCCAGTGGTTTTAATTTTAACAATCTATTGCTCATTGTCTCCTGTCCTCCTCCCCATCATACAATATTGCTGTCACAGTCCCCCTCCCCCAGAGTGCATCACTTAACTCTCTTTGCCCCCGCATTCCCTTCCCACTGAGTGTCCACTTCCTAGCTAGGAGGGGACACTGATCATCCATTCCACATCCTACATTGCCTATGAGTAATGCCATGGGAGATTGTTTAATTAACAATTAAAATGAATTAGGTAAGTGAGAAGAAGATGGATTCAATGGTGCATCTTGTGCTTTAGTTCCAGTGTACCTAAAGGGACTGTGGGCACTAATTAGGTTTTTGTTGTGATACAACAAACATTTTCTTCAACTAATAAATATAGTTGCCATAATTATACAGTGATGTGGTGTCAGTCCATGAAAACTTTATCGAAATTACTGTCGCTTACAGCAAAGTTTTAGATCCGCACACTGGGGAACAAATTGCAACCTCATCAGAGTTTGAATCATGGATTTTGTGCATTTAGCCACTTTAAGTAATTCCTCAGAAAAGCACTCATTTTTACATCTAATGAACTTTGTAAGGATTAATGGGAATGGAAATGGGTAAAAATGTATCTGCTGTATGAAATTAAGAGCTAAGATTTAAAAAGAAAGAGGCATCCTATGAAAGGCTTTCACCTTACACTCATCAGGACAGATGCAAGAATGCCAAATTTCAAAGGGAACAATTTTGATTTATACAGCATGAGGGATGGGAGTTGATTGGTTGGTTGTGGACTCTGATAGCTAAGGCATTGTCATGGGGATTGCACCCAGAAACAGTTAACCCCAAATTTCTATTTAAATTTATAAAACGCAAGTCCATTCTTATCAGCCCAATTTACTGAACAATCTTAAGTACGCCAAAAATTATACTCATGAGCAATTTAAGAGATCAGTTTGGTCAGTAACACCTGCTAGAAGCTATGTATACTCATATAAAATGGGAGCCCTGTTCCCTGGTGCATGCTCCATGGCACATCTTGACCAATTAGAGTCAACTTTAAACCTCAAAAGGAATGGTGACAATTGTCCATCTAGCCTACCTTTTCAGTCCAAAGATGTGCAGGTTAGGTGGACTGACCGTGATAAATTGCCCCATAGTGTTCAGGGATGTGTAGGTTAGGTGCATTAGCCATCGGAAGTGTAGGATTACAGGGATAGGGTGAGGGATGGGTCTGGGTGGGATGCTTTTCAGAGAGTTGATATGGTCTTGTGGAATTGTGGAGTTTCTATGATTCTATGGAACTACGTCCAGACCCCTGTGCCCCCCATTGCCGTTTGCTCCAATTCTCCTAATTTAATCCCCTCCCCGACCCCCTCCCTCAAAATCATGTAATCAGTATTTGTGGAACACATAGTCGTGGTCTTTCAAATGGTCCTTAAAAAAAAAACTTTGTCATAGTTTACTGCTAAATTCTACCATCCCATCTAATAACGATTCACAATTCTACCACCCAGAAATTGCTTTCTTTCCTGTTTTCCTCTGACACTTTTAACTTTCACATTCAAATAGTTTACTTGTTTTTTTCACCACCAGTGAGCATTGAACACACAGTTTTAACAACCTAGTCATCGTTACAGCCAAATCTCCTCTCTGCTGTTACCTCAAGCACTTTGCTACTTAACATGTAATCAATATTTTCAGTTCTTCTATGGAATTTCAGCATTTTTCTGCAGTATATTCCATTTGCCATCTCTCTGATTATTACCTTACCCTATTCAAATCCCTTTTGGACATCACAGTGCTTAGCATCAATTTGGCCTTATCCATAAAACTGGCAATCTTTGAGAAATTCTCTACTCCTTTTCATTTGTAAAGATTCTGGAAACGAATTTCTTATTTAACTATGCCCAGTGTTGAATAGTTTGTCTATTCTGATCAAATAAGCCCGAAAGGCCTTTTTAAATATTTTGGTTAAAGGCTTGGCAATGTCAGGAAGAAATTATCTCAGGTCTACATCAGTTGGGAACAGCATTCTCTGCCCAGCATTGATAAAGAAAAGAAATGCCCACATTAAATCACAGAGGGAGGCTATTCAGCCCATTGTTCCTGCACCAGCTCTTCAAATTAGGATCATTAACCCAATGCCATGCCCTTGTACACCATTTCTATCCAAATATCTTTCCGATGCCCCTCAATTGAACCTACCTCCACCTCATTTCCAGGCAGCACATTCAGCCTAACTACCTGCTGTGTGAAAAAGTTTTTTCTCACATCATCTTTGTTTGCACATCACTTTAAATCTGTGCTCCTTATTCTTGTATTTTGGAAGCAGTTTCTCCGTAGCTACTCTGTCCAGCCCACTTATGATTTTGAAAATCAGAAGAAGATCCCTCTCAGTCTTCTCTCCAAGGACACCAGTCCCAACTTTCTCAGTCTCCCCCGTCCCATAACTGAAGTTCTTCATCCCCGGAACCATATTTGTAAATTGCTTCTGTACTCTCTCCAATGTGCTGTGGTGCCCACAACTGTACACAATACTGCAGCTGAGGTCTAACAAACACCTTGTACTTATTGATATAACTCTTCACTACCACAGGTTATCCAAAACACTTCACAGCCAATGACTGCTTTTATAGAAATGTGTAATCGCTGTTAAGATAAGCAGTGAAGGAGCTGCTTTCAGTAATTCCTGCATTTCCATAGTGCCATTCCTGCCCTCAGAACATCCCAACATGCTTCGCAGCCAATGAAATACATCTGAAGTGTAATCATTGTTGTAATTGAGAATCTGTGGCTAGTAATTTGCACACTGCAAGATCCCATAAACAGAAATGTGCTGCTGATCAGCTAATCAGTTTATGTGATGTTGATAGAGGGATAGATATTGGTCAGGATGCTGGCGAGAACGCTTCTGCTCTTTGAAATATTGTCATAGGATCTTTTATAGCCACTTGAGAAGACAGAAGACACCTGGTTAACTTTTCATACAAAACCCAGCATTGTTGTCAATGTTGCACTGGATTGTCAGCTGTGATTTTGTATTCAAGTCTTATAGTGGGATTAGAATACAATACCTTGTGACACAGAGGCCAGAGTGCAAACATTTCCATTTAGTTGAATACTTAAGAAATTTGCTTGTTCCATAAACAACATGGTGCCAAATGACTGGTAGAAAATCTGTTTTAGTGTTGTGCATTATTTTCTGGCTGGCCAAGGCACAAAGGCAAGTTCTTTTGAAGAGTTCTGAAATAACTCTACAGAGGCTGGTATCCCATCACCAGGGCACCCTTTATTTATATGTGCTGAGTCCTTGAAACTGATCCAGCTCCCTCAGAGCCAGTTGTCAGAGCAAGCAGGATGTCTGACACTTCTGTTCTTATCTGTCAGCTAGGGCTCCCTGTTTGGACTAGCTTAACAGCCCCAATCGGGGAACTCATATTCTGTGAGAATCGAAA